ATGTGGATGGATGAAACCCTTCCAATGGTTGAGATTTCACAATACTTACCTCCAACGGCCAAAAATTTGACTCATTTTCTTTTTAATTTAAATAAGTTATTTATCCGAATTTGAGGGAAGAAGTGTATTTTCTTTAATATAACCACAACAAAATTACTCAAAAATATACCAAAGTATCCGTAAAAGTTTTTTTTTCAATTCTTTAGTATTTTAATTCAAGTCTACTTATGAAAATGAATCTATAGGCTAAGTTTCATATTAATAATATTTTTAAATTAAAATTGAAAATAAAAAACAAAATTCAATTTTGGCCCTTGGATGAGGCTGGTTCAATTCCAATCATTAAAAGGAGCGCGTCTAAACGAAAAAAACCCACGCACGCGTCACCCTCATTTCCATTTTTTTCTCTGTTTTGGCCAGTATCTGTCATTTCGATGATGCTGGGGAGAAAATACTCTCTCCCTCAACTGCAATTTTGCATGTGAAAATACTTTCTTTTTTTTGTTTTTGACTGTTATCTTACAGTTTAATACTCTCTCTGGTTCTTCTTCATGATCTTCCAGGTCCCAAAGAATCAGAAAACTATATTAAAGTAGAGGCAATTTCATAGTTTACTAAAATAATTAAAATAATAATAATAATAATAATAATAAAGAGTTAACAAGGGAAATCATTGTTTTCACAAGGAAATATCAATCAAGTGGCAAAAAATACTGACTGGAATGGCTTTTCCAAATATAGAGAAATCAAAGGTCTGAAACACGGCTAGTGTCTATCCTCCTGTCCAAAAATAGCAAAAAAAACTCATTTAATCACCATTGATCCAATCTAAAGCATTAACAGACACGCATTAATCATCCGCAGTTAAAATCCACCCTTTTTAAAAAGAAAAGAGCCCATCCCCCATGACTGCAGCATATTTGAATCTCAAAAAGCAATTTCCATTTATTAATAAAAGAAATTTAGATGATAATAAGAAAGAAAGAAGAAGCTTCTCTATAATTGTTTCCATTCTCGAAAAAAAAAGAGATGTCATATTGATCCAGATTTATCTATCCACAACTTAGTGGTCCTCCTGCTATAAATTGGCCACACAGAAAGAGAACCTGTATTATACACATCATCTATTTAAATCCTTGCCGTTCTTCTTTCTGACACAGTAGTTCCAACCATGGCGGCAGCATTCTCAGGACCTTCCCTAACTTCTCTGTTTTGCTTCTTTTTCTTTACCCTCTCTCTCTCTCTCTCTCATGTGATGTTAAGCTAGGAAAGAGGTCTATGTCAATTGCTTCGATTAGACAAGAAAATAGTCATGGCTGTAGCTCAATCAAGGTCTTTTCGCACCTTGAGAGATCAACCGACAATTTTCTCATTGCAAACCAACAATGACGAGATTCAGAAACAAATTCATTGATTTCACCAATTGGGTTTCCTCATGTAGCAGTCAAGAATCATAAACTATGTATACTCCTGTTAGATCGTATCCGCTTGTTCTAAAGCCATGCATTGAACTCTGTGCTAGCTGTAATAGTGTACTAAATTTGAAAGATTTTAAGTACCACACTGCATACTAAAGTGATAAAAACACAAATGCATCTGAATAGGATGTGATGGTCCTAATGACCATGTTTTCCATATGTTAAAACATAGGATCATGTATACACACGCACATATGCATGAGTGTAGATGAGATGATTCTTACATGGAAGATGATTCTTTCAATTTCTGTGTTTCGAAATGGTTGCCAGATGACGGAGGAGGAGAGGAGGTTCGAGGCAGAAATTGCTGAGGTGCAGGCATGGTGGAGCACTGAGAGGTTCCGGCTGACCCGCCGCCCTTACACTGCAAGAGAGGTTGTGGCATTGCGAGGGAGCCTGAGACAGACCTATGTATCAAATGAGCTCGCCAAGAAGCTTTGGCAAACTCTAAAAACCCACCAAGCAAACAAGACAGCCTCGAGGACCTTCGGTGCCCTAGACCCAGTCCAAGTAACCATGATGGCCAAGTACCTGGACACTGTGTACGTGTCTGGGTGGCAGTGCTCTTCCACCCACACCTCAACCAATGAGCCTGGCCCCGACTTAGCTGACTACCCCTATGATACCGTCCCCAACAAAGTTGAACACCTCTTCTTCGCTCAACTATATCATGATAGGAAGCAAAGGGAGGCTCGTATGAACATGAACAAAGAAGAGAGGGCTAGGACCCCTTACATAGATTACTTGAAGCCTATGATAGCAGATGGAGATACTGGGTTTGGTGGGGCCACCGCCACGGTGAAGCTTTGCAAGCTCTTCGTGGAGAGGGGCGCAGGTGGGGTCCACCTTGAGGACCAAGCATCTGTGACCAAAAAATGTGGCCACATGGCAGGGAAGGTGTTGGTCTCAGTAGGAGAGCACATAAATAGGCTTGTGGCTGCCAGGCTCCAGTTCGACATAATGGGGGTTGAAACTGTGCTCGTGGCTCGCACTGATGCAGTGGCTGCCAACCTCATCCAAACGAACATGGACTCAAGGGATCACCAGTTCATATTGGGGGTCACAAACCCTGATCTTATGGGGAAGGCCTTGGCCACTCTCCTTGCAGAGGCCATGGCTGCCGGGAAAACTGGCTTGGAGCTACAAATCATAGAAGACGAGTGGTTAGCTAAGGCCAGCCTCATGACTTTCTCTGAATGTGTCATGAATGTGATAAACAGGTTGAATATTGGAGAGGAAGAAAGGAGAAGGAGATTGAATGAGTGGGAGAGGGCCTCGGGCTACAATAACTGCCTCTCTAACGAGAAGGCTCGAGAGATAGCGGAGGGGTTGGGGTTGACAGACCTGTTCTGGGACTGGGATTTGCCAAGGACCCGAGAAGGATTTTACAGGTTCAAGGGCTCAGTTATGGCGGCTGTAGTTAGGGGATGGGCCTTTGCCCCTCATGCTGACCTCATATGGATGGAGACCTCAAGCCCTGACTTGGTTGAGTGCACCAAGTTTTCACAAGGGATTAAGTCGTTGCACCCAGAAATAATGCTTGCTTATAACCTCTCTCCTTCTTTCAATTGGGATGCATCAGGGATGACTGACGCACAGATGAGGGATTTCATACCACAGATTGCGAAGTTGGGCTACTGTTGGCAGTTCATAACTCTTGCTGGGTTCCATGCAAATGCCCTAGTCATTGACACTTTTGCCAAGGATTTCGCAAGGAGGGGGATGCGTGCTTATGTGGAAAGGATTCAGAGGGAGGAGAGAAACAATGGGGTTGATACACTTGCGCATCAGAAGTGGTCTGGTGCTAATTATTATGACACGGTGCTCAAGACAGTTCAAGGTGGTATTTCCGCAACTGCAGCCATGGGCAAAGGCAAGTATCCCACCAGCTCAAAGAATAGTTTTACTTTCCTTCGCTTTTTGAATCTCAAACTAAATTTCGCAACAATGAATTTCTCATAAGGAAATTTGTTTTTTTCTATTGCGCAAAATAGATGGCTGATATGTGGAATTTCAATAGCACTTCGGTCTTCAACTTGAAGAAAATTGCCACTACAAATATGACAAAAAACATTTCTTAGATTTTAGTCTGAAATCAGATTATATTCCACCCAAAGTTTATTTTAAAAGCAGCCAATCAGCATATAGGTGCTGACTGGAAATAATGATATTCCAAATCATGCTTTGACCAAAGGTTGAAATCTTACCAAACTCATGAATTTGTCAACGCAAATGAACACCACTACTACTTTAGAGATAGCAATAGTTCAATTTACGCCACTTTAAACTGTTTCGATTTATTTTGATCATTGCCATTTTGAATTTAATTATTGGTAATTTGCGTGCAGGGGTAACTGAAGAGCAGTTCAAAGAAACGGGGACTAATAATGGAGCCATTTACATTAACGGAAGTGGAGAAGTAACTAATAACGGAGCCATTTACATGAATGGATGTGGAGAAGTGATTGCCTAATCAAGAAGATAGCAAGACTGCTACAATCAAGATATTAGAGCCCTGTTTAGTTTCATGTGTTTTATCAGTGTGGTAGACGTTTATATTCCTGTCAAAAGAGTGGAGAAGTGCTTGCCTAGTCAAGAAGGTAGCAAGATTGCTACAACCAAGACATTAGAGCCTTGGTTTAGTTTCATGTGTTTGATTAATGTGTGGCAGACATTTATATTCCGTTCTAAAAGCAACTTACTAGAATATATTAGTAAATAATTCCCATTTGGGATTCCACTCTGTTATTGTCATGGAGCCACCAACTGTTGACCAGAAACTCACCTATATGGAGAGTCTGAGGTCAGTCCACTAGCTGACAATCACAGTAAATACCCAACGACCCAGATTGAATCTGGACCGATCCAGTGGTCATGATTGCATTTCGTATTTGAATTTGAATTTATTTTATTTTTTTTACAAATCCGATTCACTTGAAATTTTGAGCACATACTCTTGAATAATAGATGAACCTAATAAAAATATCAAAAAAATATTCACAAAGAATAAATTGATGAGCAGAGTGGACACGTCGAATTTCAAGTGATTTGGATATTTAGAAAGAAGATTAAAATTCAAATACGAAACACAATTATGAACATCAGATTGGCCCAGATTTAATCTGGGGTGTTAGGCTTACACTATTCCATCAGCTAGTGGGCTAACATAATCATTTCTTAGTCCGGGATCAAGATCCGTACAACTTATCTAGCCCTGAGCTAGATCCCATATATAAACATTTGCGCTCCCGCTACTCATGGGATCTAGAAACCATTTCGCAAGGGCCGCCTCCCCCACTTCTCATGGGATCTCGACCTCAAATACCCACGGACCGCGATCCGTATAAATTATCCTCGATTCATAAATATAAAAGATTGCAGTCCCATTGCTCACGGAAATTAGATCACATTATGCAACAAACGGGGCTCCCTCTTCCCATTGTTTTAAATGCTTTAATTATTTAAATTATTGATATGGTTTATGCATTTTACAACCCTAGTAGCAATCTAAGTAATTTAATTCGTGAAGTTTGGGATCAATACAAAAAAAGGATGGAGATCCACAAATATAGGGATCGAGATCTTGATATGGATGAAGATTCACAAACATAGGGATCGAGATCCCTTAATCCAGGGATTGAGATTCCAACATGATGAGGATCAAAATCCACAAATAGAGAGATTTGACCACCATGATTGGGAAGGATCCAAGTCCCTATGATTAGGGAATCGAGATTCTGGGAAAAAGGAGTGAGCTCCCTCCAAAAAAAAAAGGGCTCCGGATGAGATCCCTGCTTTGGAGCATGGGATCTAGATTTTGGAGGTAGAACAATGCCCGTTAGGGACGCTCCAGGTATATATATGCATATTTATTCAAGTTGAAACTTAGGAAATATTATCAGTACACTAAGCAATTCCTTCTTATGCGAAAGGAGCCCAGGAAATTAAATCCCACCTCCAACCTTCTTTTCGATCTTGAGATAAAAACAAATCAACAACAAAATGAGAATGACTATGGCTGTAAATCACGTAATGGCTGTAAATCAAGCCAAGGATGAGAAGAAGCACTTTATTCTTTCATGGAAAAAAAAAATCCCTAGAAAAAATACCAAGTCTCTCTCCAAAGGGGGCATCCCACTTTTTCTTAATACAAATAACGTAAAATAAAAAACAAAATAAAATAAAATCCAAAAAATATATCTCTTTTTATGCACATAAAAAAAAAATAGGCAAATATTCCCCCTCCTCTCTGAATCATGTACCACCTATCCCCTTCATTCTCTAACTCTTCTATTTTTTCTCACCCTAGATCCACTTTTCTAGGATTTCTCACTCTACCTCATGTGAATTTCTTGCCACAACAATTTAAGCCCAAGACACTTCTCTTCTAAGGAATGAAACTCCCTCCTTTTATGGATCTCATGTACTGTCTTCTCTACCCATTATTCTCTTTCTAACTTAGCTAACAATTCCCATTAAAATAGGACCATCAAATCCAAGAAACCAGGTAAGCCTTGCATGCCAATCTTAAAGAAACTATAAACCTTTAGATTTGTCCATGACATAAAATGAAAATCCCTTCTTAACCACTACTTGGACATCCCTGAAAATTAATACCACCAATCATGAAAATAAATAAACAAGTCTAAGGTCATCCCTATAAAAATAAAATAAAATAAATTCAAACTAGCCCTACTCCTAAACGTCCCGGATGCGATTTGCATCATACTTCCCGGGTTGGAAAGAACTTCTCCTCGGAGTCAGCTATTGATCACCATCATCCTCCCTTAGCTGGTGGTGAAGCCTACATCTCCACGCAAGTGTTATTTGCAAAGCATGAGATTAAACAACTGGGATGCACCTCCGATGGTCATCCATTTGGCATATACAGTGGGGAACACATTGCTGACTTGGAGTTCAAAGTCATAAGCCTTCACCACATTGTTGACTTGGAGTTCAAAGTCATAAGCCTTCATTAAAAAAGAAGCATCGCTTCCAACTAAAGATGTTTAGGTTTGCATCTGGGAGAAGATCTCCCAGATGGGGTCCAAATTCACCAGAGGATAGAACTTGAGCGCTATTTCACAAAGGTCATTTTTTCCCATATTTGAAACCACTTCACCACATGTGGTTAAACCTCTGTGTTTAAAAGTTTAAACCTATTAAGTCATCTTTTTCCAACTCACCATTATAATGCACCATAAGAAGAGAACTCGCTAAAACTAGGTCAAAACCAAGCTCCAGCTTTAGCTGTTCACAAATTTGATTCTAATAAATGGGCCCTTTATGGCAATTATAGCCTCTGACCAGAACTACAAGAGAGCGCCCATTGGAATCAAAAGAAATTTGGAGCTTTAACCAAAAGAATAACTTCACCATCTCTATTGAAGCTTTAACCAAAAGAATAACTTCACCATCTTTAAGCCGTTCGAGAGAAACGAGAAGAAGCTTACCATACCGTGAAAGACTTGTATTGTTGTCACTAAAAAGACCTACTCCAAAACAAATTTGGAAAATAGCAATGACCCTAAAACCACCTTCCTCAAAGAGCTCTATGGGTTCATATCAGCACCAAGAACCATGGTCACCCCATTGAATAAAAACAAAATCAAAGCAACTCCATGTTCCTGTAAAAGAAAATCAACACGGGTCTTCTCATGATACGGGACCTCTCCAACTTTATCTCTCCTTGTAGATTTGTCTCTTCTCTCATATGTGTTAACAATGGGTTTTCTCCATTGCCCTTAGGAGCAGTTTTGAAAATAAATAAAATTATTTTATTTCTCTTATTTCCTTATAACCAAAACATCATATCTTACTTGGGCCCTTTTTAGTCAAGTCTTCTTGAAAGCACCTCCACTCTTTCCCTTTCTATCTGTTGAAGCAAGGGGGGCCAAAAATATATTGAGGTAGGGTTTGGCAAGAGTGGTATGATGCACTTTTCATTCTCTCTCAACATCCCTGTTCCCTCTCTTTCTCACTAAGCATTTAGAGGGTACCTTGAGCTCAATGGTGCATCCATAGCCTTGCAAGGGACACCCTAATCATCTATTGTGAAGCCATCTTACACCATCATCTCTCTATTACTTTTCTATCTCTACAAAGCTACTAATATCTTTTTTATTCAAATTTTCAACAAGGTTAGGATTGCTTGTGATGCTCTAAAAGTGGATATACTTGTTCTCTACAAGCCCTAACTTGAGCACTTTGGTGAGTTCATTCCATGCTTTATATTTTCTCATCTTGTTATGATTCTTGACTAAAATAGAGTATGAAATTGATCATATTAAATTGAGGATTCAAGTTGATGATTTGAGCAAACACTTATTGTAGATACATGCCTAGGTTTATTATGTGATTGAAGAATATGCTTGTGAAGTGTTCGACTATATATTCAAGTGGGATTTAAAGTGTGATCTTGGTCTAAATTTGATTGCATATTAATCCATATTCGTAGCCCACTTTAATCGATCCTAACATTTGGTATCAGAGCTCTGGTTGGATACGAGAAGCATACTTTCAGAATTGGTAAAAATAGAGAAGCATGATGGATCTAATTTTTCTTTATGGAAAACAAAATTATTTTTCTTGCTTCATAGTATGGAATTGTTGTATGTGATTAATGAATAGAAACCTAGTGAACCCGACGATGACTCTACTCTTAAAGAGAGGCAAACATATTTGAAGTGGAAAAATGATGATTTTTCATATAGAGGTGCTATCTTAAATTGTTTGAGTGATAGGTTGCACAAAGTATTTGAAACGTATGCTAATGCCAAGGACTTATGGGTTGCAATCGAAAAGAGGCACACCAATGATAATTATGTTGCTAAATGTGAGCTTTATAAATATTATGGCTAATCAACTTGCTAGTTATGGTGAGCCCATAAGTGAGCACCAACAAATCATGAAAATTATTGAAAACCTTCCTAATTCTTGGAAAGCTTTGAAAGAGAACTTGCACCAAAATGGTACAATTCATACCTAGGATGACCTTAGAGGACATTTCAGGATGGAAGAGAATGATAAAGTTAAAGAGAAGGATGAAAGAGCTAAAAACCAAGCTTATTTAGCAATGGCTAAGAAAAATGATAACTAAGTTCCTAATAAGAATGCTAAGAAGCCTCTCCATCTTAAAAATTCCTACAAGTTCAAGAAGTGCTATAATTATAACAAGTTTGGTCATATTGTTAAATTTTGTAGGGAACCCAAGAAGAAGAATGTTGGACAAAGTAGTGGCTCCAAGGACTTCTCCTTTGTGGTTGAAGAGTCATTGATGGTGAGCTCCCCCGATGAATGGTGGGTGGACTCCAAAGCTACTAGGCACATCAAAAAAACACAATGAACAATATGGTGGAGTTCAAAGAAAAGGGCAATGGCGCTGGGAAACTCTTTATAGGCAACTCGTCTAGTATTAACATTCTTGGAGAAGGGACAATTAAGCTTCCACTCCCATCCTGTGACAATTTAACTCTTAATGATGTTTTGTATGCTCCGGATATGATAAAGAATTTAGTTTCTCTCTGTAGGATTGATAGGGGTGGGGGTGATATTTATGTAAGGGATGGAAATATTACGCCACGTTCATTTGTTGTATGATCAATAGGGAAGGGGGGAGTCCATTCTAGTTCGAGCCTCTCTTTCCGTACCTTCACCTAATTAACCACCGTGACCGCCCGCAATGTATCAAATCCCAATCGTCCAACACTTTCTTTAGTTTAGTGTTATCCAGTCATTTCAACT